AAATAGCAAAATAATTAGAATTTGTCCCAATGGTACAAAAATTTGCAATTTTTTTTAACTAGACATTCGTAACTCGCGAGAAAAAATTTTAGGTGGACTCAGGTTACGGCAGCAATTTAAGTCTGTATCTTTTCCCCTCCGGTAAGCTTTTTTGAAGCCTCCCGGGAAAGCCTACCCGGGGGGTTCAGCGGTTTCATGAAAGGTTGTGGGGGGTAAAAAGTGAAAAAAAATCGAGAAAGAACCATTTCAAGAAGACAAGTACGAAGAAAATTATGTCTGTTAAGGGGACTGTAGGCTTTAATTGGGTCTAGGTTTTCTCTACATAAAGGAGCCATTATATGTAGTGTTTGAGAAGCTGCAGTGGTAGATGGTATGGGATTACCGATAAGTTGTACAAGGACACAGAGGCAGTAATTGGGAACTTTAGACAATGCTCCGCCTGCGCAGCAGGCTGCTTGGTGGTAACACAGTTGTAGACAGGAGGGTAGAACGCACATTAGTCAGGTATGCACAAAAATATAAACATGCTGTAAGTGTTTCCCTGTTCTATGCTTATGTATTTACTAACGACTATAATGTATATTGCTATCTCCTGCCTATAACTTGGACTAACACTAGGTGGGATCTATTAGGCTCAACCAAATATGTCTACTGTGCAGGTAAGACGATGTCTAGCGTTTCCAAGTACTTGTCTTTATAATCTACAGGAAATAAGTAAAGTAGGAGAGGATATTGAGAGGCTGGTAGGAGCCTCATAATTGTGTGGAGAGAAGTAGGCCCAGGTAGGTGGAGATCTCAGATATGAGTGACATCGTCCTCCACTGATAATGACCTGGGCTCGTCCCGTGGTGATATGCTCATTAAGGGCACCTTGGGCATTATACGAGAGCAAGTATGAATTGTTATTTCTTATGCATTTATGTACACACACACACACACACACACACACACACACACACACACACACACATACACATTAAACTACAGACCGGTGTCTCTGACGTGTATAGTATGCAAAGTCATGGAGAAGATTATCAGGAGAAGAGTGGTGGAGCACCTAGAACGAAACAAGAGTATAAACAACCAGCCCGGATTCATGGAAGGCAAATCCTGTCACAAACCTTCTGGAGTTTTATGACAAGATAACTGAGTAAGAAATGAGAGAGAGGGGTGGGTTGATTGCATTTTCCTTTACTGCAGGATGTTCTTCGACACAGTTCCTCACAGGAGATTAGTGCAGAAGCTGGAGGATCAGGCGCGTATAACAGGAAGGGCACTGCAATGGAACAGAGAATAACTGACAGGGAGGCAACAACGGGTCATAGTACGTGATGAGGTATCACAGTGGGCGTCTGTGACGAGCGGGGTCCCACAGGGGTCAGTCCTAGGACAAGTGCTATTTTTGATATATGTGAATGACATGGTGGAAGGGATAGACTCTGAAGTGTCCCTGTTCGCAGATGATGTGAAGCTATTGAGAAGGATTAAATCGGATGAGGATCAGGCAGGACTACAAAGAGACCTGGACAGGCTGGACACGTGGTCCAGCAACTGGATTCTCGAATTCAACCCTGCCAAATGCAGTCATGAAGATTGGGGAAGGGCAAAGAAGACTGCAGACAGAGTATAGGCTAGGTGGAAAAAGGCTGCAAACCTCACTCGAGAAAGATCTTGGGGTAAACATAACACCGAGCACATCTCCGGAGGCACACATCAACCAGATAACTGCTGCAGCACATGGGCGCCTGACAAACCTGAGAATAGCGTTCCGATACCTTAGTAAGGAATCGTTCAAGACACCTGTTTGGAACCCACACCTGGTCAAGCACGTCAAGAAATTAGAGAAAGTACAAAGGTTTGCAACAAGGCTAGCTCCGGAGGTCAGGGGAATGTCCTACGAAGAAAGGTTGAGGGAAATCGGCCTGACGACACTGGAGAACAGGAGGGTCAGGGGAGACATGATAACATACAAAATAATGCGTGGAATAGACATGGTGGACAGAGACAGGATGTTCCAGAGAGGGGACACAGAAACAAGGGGTCACAATTGGAAGCTGAAGACTCAGACGAGTCACAGGGATGTTAGGAAGTACTTCTTCAGAGTCGTCAGGAAGTGGAATAGCCTAGCAAGTGATGTCAGGAACCATACATAGCTTTAAGACGAGGTATGACAAAGCTCGGGAAGCAGAGAGAGAGAGAGAGAGAGAGAGAGAGAGAGAGAAAGAGAGAGGACCTAGTAGCGATCAGTGAAGAGTCGGGGCCAGGAGTTGTCTCGACCCCTGCAACCACAATTAGGTGAGTACAAACACACGCGTTGATGACACTGTGCTTTTGGGAGATTCTCAAGAGAAGTTACAGAGATTGGTGGATGAGTTAGGTGGGTATGCAAGAGAAGAAATTTGAAACTGAATATAAGAAAGAGTAAGGTGATGAGGATAAAAAAATTAGGTAACGAAAGATTGGATATGTGGTTGGAGGGAGAGAATATGGAGGTGAATGTATTCAGATATTTAGGAGTGGACGTGTCAGCAGATGGTGTCTTTGAAAGATGAGGTGCATCATAGAATAGGCGAGGGGAAAAAGGTGAGTGGTGCACTAAGGAGTCTGCGGAGACAAAGTACTTCGTCCATGGAAGCAAAGAAGGGAATGTATGAGAGTATAGTTATACAAGCGCTCTTATATGGGTGTGAAGCATGGGTTTTGAATGTTGCAACAAGGAGAAGGCTGGAGGCAGTGGAGATGTGTCTGAGGGCAATGTATGGTGTGAATATAATTCAGAAAATTCATAGTTTGGAAATTAGGAGGAGGTGCGGGATTACCAAAACTATTATCCAGAGGGCTGAGGAGGGGTTGTTGAGGTGGTTTGGACTTTCTAAAATTTTCTCTTATACGTTTAAAGATATATTTTTCTTTTATGTTAGTATAAAAATTAATAATTTTGTACCAAAAGAACCTTAGAAAACTTACCTAACCATATTATAACAAGCGCAATTTAATCTAGCCTAATCCAACTAAATATATTTTAGATAAATTTACAATAATTTAATGATAAACGCAATGAAATATATTATTTTCGTTAGGTTCGGAATGATTTTTGCGAAATTACTGCATACCCAAATTTTCGCTTGCTTTATTCGGCAAGAAAAGCGTTGCTATACAAGTCAAAATCGCAAGTTTTACCTATTCGGCACGACATATATATGCATGCATGCATATGTCCTCGTTCTGATTCTGGTTATAGTGTGTTCTTGATTATTATATACTTTGGCTCGTAGAGCATGCTTCAAGCCCTGGCAGTCTGCCATGGTTCATCCTTGTGGCCCAGAAAATTTAGGAGTGGTTGGCCATTCTACATTCCAGACACAAGGACGTAGAGTTCTACTTGTGTCCGGGACTTGTCTGGGTTATATGTAATGGAAGGGCAAATGGGGCAGGCAGACAAAAGCTGTCGCATAGAATGTGTTCTATGGTAGCGGTTTGCCTCAGTGGCTCCGCAGTGGAGGAGTCAGTCTCGACGAGCACTGCGAATGAAATCAGGAAGGTTTCACGTTGTACAGCGGGACGAGGATCTCCCTCTCCCACTCTCTCTCTCTCTCTCTCTCTCTCTCTCTCTCTCTCTCTCTCTCTCTCTCTCTCTCCAGTAATTGTTATGGAGGAGGTTCTCCATTAAGGGTTAGTCTACCCTACCTCACCTCTGGAATCATGCTCTATTCAGTAGATAGTTCTTCTCAGCGGATAGATAGTTCTTCTCGTTAAATAGT